AGAGATATTGAGTGTCCCCCAATTGCGATATTTTCAGCCCATCCTTGACGTTCCATGCCTCTGTTGCCCAGTTTCTGACAGTCTCCGGAGAACCAACCCATTTGGAGAAAGACCCAATGAGACTAGATTCCAAGAAACCCTTGCGTCTGAGAGTGTGCTCCTCGGACAGCGTGAAGTGTGGCTCCTGTCCTACGTCGAGCTTTCGATGGCATCTTCCCCCAAGTTCTAGGGATGGCCAAGAGACAGCTTTCATAAACGAATTGTTTTTCAGTTTTCTGGATTCTAGAGAGAGAAAAGAGCTTCTCTCTGTACAATCCATCATATTCTAAATGCGGCTGTCCCGGAAAAGCTGGCCGGAAAAACCTCAATTGTTGGAATAACAATATTCACAGTGGGTGGAGACAGAAGGGAGGAATGTTTCCTCGTACTGCTGTCTGAAAGAGAAAAAGAACTGGGGTTTAAAGGCCGGAAAAAGAAAAAGTCGTCGAAATTTGGTGAAACTGGCACGGGATGGCTCGGAAGTGCCTCGCGAAGAGGCTGTCTGCAAGGAAAAAAATTGAAAAGTCGCCTGAAAAGGCCACACGCGCCGGCACGTGGCTGAGACTCGCCGGAAAGTCAGGCGCGTTGGAGGCGCGTGGGGGCGTGTGAAAGTTCAGTTGCCGGATAAGTTTACTGGGATTTGGTCGCGGGGAGCTTGGCTCTTGATGGGTGTGGTGGAAATTTAGGAAGAAGAAGAGATGGAAGAGGCTTGGCCATTTAAAAGATCATACAGTGATATGTTTAATAGAAAAACTGTTCTTTGAACAGTGATAGGAGAAACAACGAGTTTCCCCTAACCATAGGCTTACACCATTTATTTGCATTTAGCCCGTTGTTTACCCCAAGTATGAATGCACTAACAATATACAAGATCAGTCCCTATGATGTATGCTACTTGCAAACAATATTGTGTTAATCGGCGAAATTAGAGACGATGTCAACAAAGTTGAAAATTGGAGATACTTTCTAGAGAGTGAGGATTTAGTTAGGATAAGCAGAAGATAGATTATATGCACCGCATGATTAGCCAACATAAAAAAATGAAGTTGAGGTGAGATAAGACAGGATTGCAGTTAAAAGGGATGAGGTACACCTAAAATCAAATGGAAGAAAGTTGTTTCAAAAGACCTACAATCTTCTCGAATCTAGGTAGACTTAGTGAAAATAAAGGCACAATGGACGAAAAGGACCCACGTAAGCAATACAAACTAGTTTGGACTTCAGAGTAAGGCTTAATCAAGTTGGTACACTTACTTTGGGTCCAATGTTTGTTAGGAGTCTTTTAGTGTTGTTAGAGATTCGTATGCCTGTAAAAATGCAGAGAATTTCTTGTAACGACCCGACCGGTCGTTTTGAGCTCTAGTGCGTCATTCGGCGGTTTGAGGACATTAGAAGCTTCACTTCGAGTATTATGACTTGTACGTGTGGTCGGAATTGAAATTCGGGAAGTTGGAGTTGATTTGGAGAGAAAATTCTAATTCCAGAAGCTTTAAGTTGGAAGAGTTGGCTAAGGGTTGATTTTTGAGTAAACGATCTCGAAATCGGGATTTGAAGGTTCCAACAGGTTCGTATGATGATTTTGGACTTGGGCGTATGTCCGGATCGGGTTTTGGATGACCCGGGAGCGTTTCGACGCCTATTGTGGAAAGTTGGCATTTGGAAGAATTTCATAAATTTGGGTTGAAGTGCATCTCAATGTTATCAATGTCCGTTTGGGATTCCGAGTCTGGGAATAGCTCCGTATGATGACTCTGGCCTAAGGAGCACGTCCGGAAGTGGATTTGGAGGTCCGTAGGTCATTTTGGGGTCATTTGGCGAAAATTGGGAATGTGAAGGTCTTTGAAAAGTTTGACCGGGAGTGGACTTTTTGATATCGGGTCGGGTTTCGATTTCGGAAGTTGAAGTAGGTCCGTAATGTCAAATGTGACTTGTGTGCAAAATTTGAGGTCAATCGGACGAGATTTGGTAGGTTTCGACATCGATTGTAAAAGTTTGAAGTTTCAAAGTTCATTAAGTTTGAATTGGAGGGTGATTCGTGTTTTGGCGTTGTTTGATGTGATTTAAAGGTTTGACTAAGTTCGTATGATGTTTTGGGACTTGTTGGTATGCTTGGTTGGGGTCCCGGGTGAATTTCGGATGCTTAACGGATCGATTTTTGGACTAAGGGAATGCTGGGATTTTCTGGTTGCTGGTGGAATCGCACCTGCGGAAAAAGGGCCGCAGAAGCGGCAAGGCAAGCGCAGAAGCGGAGGTTGGCCAAAAGGCCTGGGGCCGCAGAAGCGGGCACAAACGCGCAGGTGCGCGCGCGCAGATGCGCTAGAGGATCGTGAAAGCGAAAGCGCAGATGCGCTGCATAGGGCGCAGATGTGGGGGGCTGTTGGGCTGAGCTTGAATCGCACCTGCGAAGGAATTTCCGCAGGTGCGGAGCCGCAGGAGCGGCTATTGGACCGCAGAAGCGGAAATCGTGGCTGGGCAGTGAGATTTTTTAATAAAACGAGGTTTGGCCATTTTCATTTCATTTCCTCCCTGAGAGCCGACCTTGGAGCGATTTTGGAGCACCATTTTCACTATCAATAATGAGGTAAGTGATTTCTACTACTTATGAGTTAAATATACCAACTTAGGCTTGTAAATTCATAGAAATTTGTAGAAATTTGAGATTTTGAAGAAAAACCTAGAAATTGGTATTTTTGGATTTTGACCACGAATTTGAGCATGAAATTGAGAATAAATTATATATTTGAGTTCATAAAGCTATGGGTAGTGTTTATCTTCGAAAATTTTCGAAATCCGGGCACGTGGGCCCGAGGGTGATTTTATAGACTTTTCGAGCGGAGTTGGAAATTTGTTGTAAATTGGATTGTAATAAGTATTAGAGTATATATTTATGGATTTGCATATTTATTGACTAGTTTTGGAGCGATGGGCATCGGTTTGAGTTGTTGGAAAGGCTTTGGAGCCGGTTATGGAATTTCGGAGCAAGGCAAGTCTCTTTTCTAACCTTGTAAGAGGAAATTAACCCCATAGGTGAATCGATTTAATGTGTGCTTCTATTTGTGGGGGCTACGTACACACGAGGTGACGAGAGTCCGTGCGTAGCTACTATTATGCTTATGTCCGGGTAGTCTAGGACCCAAATCATGTTATATTTGCGATGTTTGCAACCTACTTGTTAATTTAATTGCTTGAATCATATTGAAACTTGGTAAAGGAACTGTAAAAGGTTAAACTTCATTTTCTTGACCCTCAATGAGAATTGGTATTTCCTTGAATAATTGCCCCCTTAAATAAATCTTGAATTGGTTGTTTCAAATGTATTTTCTCTTTTGTGGAGTGGGCCGAACACCTCGGTAGCAGATAGATGCATCAATGGTTCGCGCCGTTCGACCTTCAGTAATGCACAGTTTAAATATTTATGTTGGATCGGGCCGTACAACCTCGGCATGATTTGCGCATGATAAATCTTTGGAATTGATAATAATTGAATTGCTTCATTGGCCTGAGATACAAAATGTTAGATGACGAGAATAAATTTGGAAAAATTTCCTATTAATAAAAGAATTGTCCACTCACTTCTTGTTATTGAGTTTACAGCTGTTTCATACAATCCATGCTTAAGCATAATATCAGTATTTTATTGTTAGCCCATAGTAAGTGTCGGCGTGGACCCCTCGTCACTACTTCTTCGAGGTTAGACGGGATACTTACTGGGTACGCGTTGATTTACGTACTCATACTACACTTGCTGCACATTTTTTTGTGCAGGTTCATATATGTCTAGTGGCCTTGTGAGCACAGAGGCACGGTTATTGCGGGGATTTAGGTGAGCTGCATCCTTTGTTACGATCCGCAGTCATCAGAGTCTCCTTCAGAGTTATTTATATTTTTTCTGTCCAATTTATATTCCGGACAGATGCTGTATTTTATTTTACTTCCTCGTTGATACTCATGCACTTGTGACACCGGGTTTTGGGGGTACTTATGGGTTGTTCAGTATTGTAGTTGTGGAAACATTTCCATATACTCTGTAAATTTTATCTCTTATTATTTAATTGAAGGAAAATATGGTTTCAAAAATACTAAAATGAGTAATTAAGTTAATCAATTATGGTTGGCTTGCCTGACAATGGTGTTAGGCGCCATCATGACCTTTAATGGATTTTGGGGTCGTGACACTTCTAGTGCTAGAAAACCTAAATGTTTTGACATTAGATTGACGGGATAAATGGAGCAACATTGATAGCGAGGATTCATATAGCCGACCCTAACTAGCTTGGGATATTGTCTAATTGATCTGGAGAAGAAAAACATAAAAATGGATTTGTTTGTTACAACTGGATGAACCTCAGACAGAGGAGAATTTTCCAAACCTCATAAAAATTCAAACAAGATGTTCTTGAGAGTAGTGCAAACCTGAATTGAGACATCTGCATCCCAGCAGCGAAAGCTCAGTTATGTTCATGCAATTCTGAGCAAGGGTAAGTAAATCATCATTGGTCATCTGTGCTGTTACTCTTTCAAGCTTCAATTTCCTCAAACACGGTGCACTGAACTGGAAGCTTAGTGAGGAAATCTCACCAAAGCAATAGCAAAGAGCTAACACTTGCAAGTTTTTTAAGGTCTCCAAGATATTTCTTACAACAGAATCAGATATTACCTGTTAAGATCAGTAACACTAAGTAGGCAACACTGATTTCAAGCACTAGTCTGAAATGCACATCATTTAAGTCTTGAACAAGATAAACTACATTAGCAACCGAAGTTAGATTTCCAGGCACAACATGGTATAGTAGATTGTGTTAACAACTTGATGCCCTATTTTTCTATGCTCAATGAAATGAATAACTGACACTCTCAATCCATACAAACCTACGTACACTCAGATCTAAATATAAATGTGTATGTAAGATTTTGTAAGTAATAAGTTTGGAGAGAAGAATCTCACAGCACTATTGTCTCCTGATAAGTCCCATTACTGCAAGTTAATTTAATAAAATTACCAAAAGTATACTCCCTCTGTCTGATTTCTTTGTTGGTTTGCTTTTTAATGTCAAAACTTTATAAATTTGTCCACAATTTTTGTTTTTTGCTAAGTACATTTGACCACAAGTTCTAAAATTATATATTAATTATTAAACAACAACATACCCAGTGTATTCCCACATTGTGGGGTCTAGGGAGAGTAAAGTATATGCAGACCTTGCCTCTACCTTGTGGAGGTAAAGAAGTTGTTTCCAAAAGACCCTCGGCTCAAGAAAAATTATATATTAAACATTTTTTTAAAATGTAATCATTTATGTAGAAAATATGAGTGGTGGCTTTATCAAAGTCTAACTTAAGGACCAGATTTCCAGTCTCGAATAATCTATGAAATTGTAAGATTTAGAATAGAACTTTCAAAGAACAAAAAAAATTATATACAGACAAATTAGCAAATGTCATACCTTCATTTTATTGAATGATATTAAAAGGTGTCTCTCCAAGCTTTTGAAATCTCAAGTAAAGATGAACAGATTTAGTGACAGAAGAAACCTTTAGTTTCCAAGCCCAGGTAAGTAAGTTTCAGACTTGAAACAGGTTGCAACCCCTCAGCTTAACTTTCAAGGATAAATACCCAAGGGAAAGATAACTTTCATCACACTTCATGTTACTCAAAGAAACCATTGATCATGAAATATACATCATCCATTGTCATTATGGTAAAGAGACTTGAAGGTGGTCCTTATAAATAAATAAAATAGAGACTTGAAGGTGGTACACCACAAAAAGAGAACTCAAAACAATGAAAAGAGTTCGTGAAAGTATTTGGACATGAGGAACCATGCCTTGGAATAAACATAATAAAAGGTGAAAAAGATCTAGAAATGAGTTGCAAGGATCAACAGCTTTTATCATTTTCGACAATACAGTTCTGTCATCATATTTCCTTACAATTTAGATAATTGAACACCAGTTCAGGCCCTCAACCCATAAGCTCATTGAACATTGTTCAATATGCACACAACTAACTGGATCAAGACGATGGGAAAAAAACTACCAAGAAGTTTTATGTAAATACTTTACCTGGAAATAAAGAATCAAAGTCTCTAGCCAAGGACAAAAAGTGGGTACCAGCTTGAGCCCATCTTCACCTAAAGATCCACCTAAACCAACAATAAATGTCTTCAACATTTTAATTGCTGGCCGCAGGGTCTCCAATGAAAAGAATGAGAATCCCCAACCAAGTGAGATTTCCTCCAAATTGCAGGACTTTCCAAGCTCATAATACAATACAGGACAGTTATATGACAAAGTAGGAAAGTTCTCTAGAATATTATTTTCCTCCTGTAATAGATGCCTGCAGCCTCTGGCAATCAAGCACTTAAGATGAGGACTTCTGCGGACAACATGACCCACTGCATGGCAAGAAACCTGAAATTCCAAAGTTTACAATATATTGGTCATACAGACATGCCGTACTGTGCTGATCTTAGTCCGGGTGTAAGGAAGAACTTTTCGAGTTCATGCTAGACACAAATCATCTGTCTATAAGTATCATTCTACCTCAAAGGCTCCACCTATAGAGTCCAAAGCCCCCAAAAATTGCTCCCTTCTGGGATACTACAACTCAATAAAAGCAAGTGAAAGGCCTTGGCGTCGTTGGCAGTAATCCATGTAGTGGAGAGGGAGCTTAAATGGAGATGTGGAGAGTTTAGTGACATAAAGTACCTAGATGGTTGCTGATTTTAAATATTTTCTTCAAAACGCATGGATCTGAATTTCCAGAAACCTTTAAAAGATTGGTGAAGTTTGAATAAGTCCACTGATCTACTCTGTCAACAGATTCACTAGGGCGTACAAAAGTAAGCTAGATATATAAATGTCCTGAAATACATAAGTACAGATTTGTGTGGGAACAACCCTTTTAAGAGCTTAAACTGTTAAAGGGGGAAAGTTTTTTTCATTTGATTATGTCTTTGATAGCTCTGTCATGTACTGTCGCCTGCCGGATTCTTTTATACGGGCCAAATACAAAGAAATATTATTATCACTATGGCAGGTCGTGAGATTCAACCAAAGACCTCCACCCTTTCAACAGCTCACCCTAAAAGCTTCAAGCACAAAATTCAACAAGTATTTCTCATGGACTTGCAACAGCTTATTCCCTAGAGCACACTGATAAAATAAAATCCACATCTTTTCCAGAATAACTTGGAGGAAGAAGACTTAAGATCATCTAGGACTACTCACAAACCTTAGTATCAGATACATCAAGCATCTCGAGTGACGATCCTGAAAATTTGTAGAGAGAATTGTCGTCAAGCTGAGTTTCCCTCAAACAAAGACTTCTTACTCTATGTGTTTGAGCGATAAGCTCCAAAAGAGTAATCTCACTGATACCTGCAAATGAGGAATGTTTTTGAAAATTGAAGTCAAAGATATCAGAAACCACATGGAAGTTGGAAAAGAAGATATAATCATGTCCACAAATATAATTTTCAGCTTCCTTCTCTTACAATTTAGAGCCTTACATGAGATTCCATCAGTCAAAAAATGCTCTCTTGAATGCACTTGAGCAAGAATTTTGTTTGTCATCGGTGCAATGATTCAAATGTAAGTTTCAACTCTCATCATTCAAAAAGAAAAACTTTTTAAGTTATCAATACATTAATTGAGTTGTAAACTGTTTTCGACTGAGATTCAGGTGGAAACTAAAACATGCAGCATCCTCCACTAAATCCTTACTTTTGTGATTTCAGAAAGACTAGCATTTCAAGCTCGCAGTTTTATTTTGGAAAAAGGAGTTCTTGTATCCACAATGAACTAAAATTTATCAACAGTCACATTGGAAGATGCAAAGCAGTAACTGCTAACCATATTTTCAAATCGAAAGTTCTACAATGCAACCTTTAGTTCTTGTTAATTTACAGCATGTATATAGTGTAGTATTGTCCCACATTGGTAGAGGAGTAGTATGTC